TCACTGGAATCTGGTTATTTTATCTACTATATATTTGAAAAAGCTTAACTGTCTGTGAGTGAGTCTGTCTGTCCATTTGTTCAAGAACTCCTCCTAAACAGTAAGAGCTAGGACCACCAAATTTGTTATGTAGCTTCCTCTTTATCCTAACTTAAATCAAGATCTGGGTTTGGTTGTGCCAGAACAATGGGATGTGCTTGGAATGCAAATGTTTTTCATAACCCAGAAAGGGAGAGGGCTGCTAGCAGGGACAGTTATACTATATAATGAGACTACAGCAGGGCAGCAAGGGATCAAAGATGGTGACTAGGACAGCTATAACACTCTTCCTACAGCCCCCAGAACCCCTTCCAACAGCCTGCGCTGACTCCTATACTCACCACAGCCTGCCCTGGGGCTGTGGGGAGCGCCAAGGTAGTTCTCTCTCCACAGGGCAGCCTGCATACTGAATCCTTCATTCCTAGCCTCACCCCAGAGCAATGATTTAAATGAAGAAAAACAAAAATTAATCGAGTTAAGGATCTGAGCAATGCTGGGTAAATCTAATAGTCTATAATTGTATAGAAGAGGATGCAGCTCACACTCATACTGAATAATTATTAAAGATTCATTGCCATTTTCCCTGGTGTAGGTGAGCATAAAGTTAGGCCCAAAAACATAGTCTATAATTGTATAGAAGAGGATGCAGCTCACACTCATACTGAATAATTATTAAAGATTCATTGTCAAAGTAGCAGTTGGCAATGAATAGAGTCATGCAGGAGTCAGTTCTGGATCTGATGAGTCTAATATTTTTCATTAACACCATTGAAGACAGACTGGAAGGTACAAGAGTCAAATTCGCAGATAACACACATCTCAGAGGTCTGCAAAACCACTAGAAAGTACAGCATTAAAATTGGTGAAATAGACTGAGCCCTGACTCTTTTCTCATACTGGTATGTCACTTCATTGGATTTCTTGCCATTTTCCCTGGTGTAGGTGAGCATAAAGTTAGGTCCAAAAACTCAGTATTACAGTGTAATATGGTAAGAGATTTGGAGTCCAACTGACCTGAGCTCTGGTCCAATTCAGTAAAGAACTTAAACACTCAAAGTATTAACACGTAAGCAGACACATCAATGTCAGTGGGCTCTGGAGCAGACTTGCTGTCTGAATACAGTTAAAATACATCAAATACTCTGAACTATATAATGCAAAGTATCAAAATTCTCTGGTGCCAATGCCTTATCTATACTACAGATGCCACTCTTACCTCAGCATAACTGCATCTACACTGGAAGTTTTGCTGGCACAGCTATATCAGCAAAGGTGTGGCTATCTAAGGCCAAGTCTACACTAAGGGATAAATTCAAATTAAGATATGCAATTCCAGCTACATTAATTGCTTAGCTGGAATCAACATACCTTAATTTGAACCTTAGTGCCATGCCTTCAACGGGAGGTCAACGGGGAAAACGTTCCCTTCGGCTTCCCTTACCGTATTTTCCGGCGTATAAGGCGACTGGGCGTATAAGACGACCCCCTAATTTTCTAGTTAAAAGATAGGTTTTCGTCTTATACTCGCCGTATAAGACTACCCCCCCTTAAAAAGGCCAACCGGCAGTGCCCCAGCGCCCCTCCGCCTTCCCCGGCTTTGCTTTGCTCCTGGTGACCAGGGGCACCGGGAGCAAAGCCGAAGCGGTGGCGGGGTGCCGCGCTTCTGAGGCTTTGCTCTGGAAAAGCCTCAGAGGCGCAGGACCCTGCCCCCTGGTCTGCTGGAGACCAACAGACCAGGGAGACAGGGAGCAAAGCTTCTGAGGACGCCGGCAGCGGGACAGCCGCGGCGCGTCTGGGCTGCCCTGCTGCCGGAGCCCCTCCGCAGCTTTGCTCCGCGTCTTCCAGGTCTGCAGACCAGGGGGACGCGAAGCAGCTTTTCTCGCCCCGGAGTACACGGGCGGCGGGACAGCAAGGTCCCGCAGTCTGTGTCCTCCGGGTCAAAAAAAGCCCGTTCGTACCTGCAAGTCAGGGACTGCCTGTATACCCGGCGTATAAGACGACCCCGATTTTTGGGGGATGTTTTTTAGCATAAAAAGTCGTCTTATACGACGGAAAATACGGTACTTCTTGTGAGGAGTAGGAATCCGGTGCTGACCAGGGAGTCCCTTAGCATTCAATTTAGCAGGTCCTTACTAAACCCACTAAATCAAACACTAGATGATGAACCTCCGGTGCGTCGATCCACAGGTAAGTACAGATGTGGTCTAACATCCAACCATTGTAACAATGCTGACAAATTGTTCTAGTGTAGATCTGGCCCACGGGTCCTTTGTTTTATGCCACAAAGCCATGTGACCGTCTTAAGCAATGGTTAATCTAGTCAATAGTTTTGGTTCCCGAAGACTGCTGACAATAATGGAAATAGTACTTCAGTGTCATAAAAACTCTGAATTAAATTGGGCAGTTCTGGGAATCTTAACCTTTTTAACACATTTCATATGTTATAAATGGAATATACTTTGTGATGACTATCCCATAAGGGCTGCCAGCGAGTACTGAACTACGGACCTCTTTGCACTAAGCATGAATCTCTAGTTCTTGAGAAAAAGATTAAATCTCTTTCTTAACTGATCACTTGGGATGACTCATCAGCCTTTTATATGGATCAACCACTAGAGGGTGAACAAAGACCCACACTATGGTAATGTGGATTATAACTAGCACAATGTGCTCCCAGGTGCTACGATAGTACAAGCAATCAATATACACCACTACGCTGCAACACATGGTAAAACCTAGTTAGTTTTATTAACATCTAAAACAATGGCATACCAGGAAAAGAAAACATTCCAAAGGGGGAAATGTCAACAAGTCACTGCACATCCTATTTTAACTATCAGCTGGCAAGGATATTGTTAGGGAGCTATGTACAACAGTTCTCCTCTGCTACTGCAAAGATAACCAGTCCCCCATGGGCTACTTTTATATGTAATAAGCAGAGCACAGGAGAGATTTAAACATACATTACTAGAAGAGGTACCTGGTGATGTCCAAGGCTTGGTCCCATCTGCCGGCTTCTCCCCAGGGCTGGTCCCGGGTGACAGGAGCTACATGTCACAGTGGGTAGTTGCTCGTGGCTGCTCCTTGGGGCTGGGACACTTGCTGCCTTCGCTGAGGTCATTTGTGAGTATAACTGTCCCTGCCATCACACCCTTGCCTTCCCATCTAATGTGAAACAATCACATTCCTCACAGGTCCCACTGTCCTGGCACAACCAAACCCTGACCTTGCTTAAGTTATGATAAAAGGAAGCTACATCCAAACGTGACTGTCCCAGTCCTTACCGTTTAGGAGTTCTTGATCAAATGCAAACTCTCTAAAATATACAGCAAATTAACGAGATTCATGATTTTTGGGTTCTAGTCAGTTTTCACAGTGGTCTTTAATTGTCTGAACTCTAACCAAGAATTCAGACCACTAGGGCCTGCGTACTGCCGATACTGTCACCACAGTAACCAAGTGTAGCAGGGCTGCCAAGGCTCCACAACCCTATTTCAGGAGGGAGGGGAGAAGAAGGGAGGAACTTCTTTACTCACCTGGAAGAGATCAATGAACCAACCCATGGAAGGATTGAGGGGATCCTTTTTGGGCTACGGAGATCTCTATGGTGGAAAGTGCAACTTCATCTGAACAGGAGAGTGAATCCGTTTGCAAAAAGTAGAGATGTTAGTCAAGGATTAGGGATCCAGCAGAGTATTAATGTAGGTCTTTCAAGAAAATACACAAATAGATAGGCTATTAACATTTCCTTTTATTTATAGAAAATAATAGAAATTAAATACAAACCATAGAAAAAACCCAAGATGAAGCTTCATTATGATGCCAAAAAGGAAGACCGAGAACCAAGAAGATTACTAGGGTTTTCAGTTTCTAACTGATTGAAGTAATTACTGTAGTCTTTCTTTGACTTAGTTCTATACAGTGACCATTATAAACAATCAATGTTCTTTTGTTTAAGAGACACAAAATATGTTAATATTTTTTCCAATCAGCCAACAAAACAGAATAGCAACTGGTTCCAGATTAAAATCAGAGTAATAAATACTGATGAAGTTACCTATAGAACGCTAAAATGTTTCCTTGTAGTCACAAAAGGATATTAACTTTATAAAACAATAAGTTATTTATGTAAATCAAGATGTTCAATAAGTTGCTAAAAAGTTTCATGTATTTGATAGAGGAAGGAAAAACAAAACAGGGGCTTAGAAATACAGAAAGGCAACACAGAAAGCAGCGGAAAAACTGGATACAATCTATACTGCTGAAGTCAGTCACATGAGTGTTGACTGTCTTCTGGTGGATAATCATTTATTCACATAGTCTAGTCGCCCCTTAAGCTGTCACTGAAAGGCTGGTAAGGGAAGAGCCTGTCATGTTTCTGGACAATGGCTGTTTTGTTCCTTTCTTACAGGACTGGAAGAAGGACAGTCAGTGACTGACATCCCTTCTGTGCCTTGATTTAGGGAATCCTATAGTCATACTTCCAACATGGACAGGACAGCCCAGCCTTCCATATGCTGCTGTGGGTTCTCTCTCCCTTAATTCTGTTCCACTCCCTTGAAGGAGAACACAGAGCAATTATAGCCTGGATTTACAAGGGTGATGCAACCAATGATGTTCAGAGAAAATAGGATCCTAGCCAAAGATATCTACAGGGCCCATTAAAGAAAAAGACGAGTTTGTGTGTGCTGGGAAAGTAGCACTCCAACTCTCATCTAAGTATTTTCTTTATTCTTAAGTCTGCTTTCCAGTTGTAGTTTCACAAGTGTGTGGGCTTTAGGACTATTGAGACATCTCAATTATCCAGGCATTGAATGTTGTTGTTTCAGAGGCTGATGTTTTGGAAGTCAACCAGCCAATTAAAACAAAACAAAACAAAAACCAAACAAATCTGAACAGAAAACATTAACCAATGTCTCCCACTATTCTCAGTATAAGGTAACACACACACACGCCCACTATTCTCAGTATAAGGTAACACATACACACGCACACACACACACTACTTTTGCTGTAAACACATGGAAATCTTTTGCCATACACATCGTCTTGTGACTACAGGTTTGAACAAGGAGATCATCACTCTCAGTCCTGTGTGTAAGATTTTTACAAAGAGGAAAGTCTCCAATCCACAAAAACTAGGGACTGTGCATGACAGCACAATTTAGTACAGTCTTAGGCAAACCTTTTCACCTATTGAAATTCATATACAGTTACCTGTCTGCTTGCTAGCCAAGTGTTATCTATTAATCATGGTGGCTGTCAAAGATTATGTAACACATACACGCATAGAATTCAGCAAGCTATTAGGTTGGAAACAAAGGGTAAGGCTTTTCTAAGTCCTATAATATCCCAACACCTGCCACCAATACACCAACAACTTGTTGTGTGATGAGGCCCCAAACATAGAATTTTGGTGCAGATTGGAGCTGGAATATAATAATTGTATAAATCCTAATTTTTCATTGATGGATTTTATATCCATACTTTCCATTCCATTAAAATCAGTAAGATACCAAAATATTTGGGGGCTTACTTTATCCTTACAGTTCATCCCAGCGCTCATCACTGTGTGAAGACATTGTCAGCTTGCATCAAACAGCATGTTAAATGTTTCTAAATTAGGGTATCAAAGGACAAAACATTTTTTTAAAAATCAGGTCAAGTATAATGTGCTGAATCTCTGTCTTACTCTGGATGACTGGGGCATTCATCATTCATTGTATATTTCTTTTAAAAAATCCTTGCAGGCTGGGAGTTTCCTTCTCTGTTCTGAAATCTTTAAGCAAAAACCCTGCATGCTCTGAATCAAAGACTAAAAGTAAGGACATTGTATCCAATTCTCCTCACCATAACACCAGTGTAAATCTGGAAACACTTCATTAAATTTGTTTGTAGTGACACTGTTATAAATCCAGAATAATTCCAACTAAATCAATCGAGCTCTTCCAGATTTACATCAGAAGCAGAATTTGACCTCTAGTTTTTTTTACTCCGATTTAAAATTTAGCTTGCATGTGCACACTGACAAACTTGACCACTGGTTTTATATTGGCAAAATAGATGGAATTTACACATCTCAAATCTTCCTACCTCATTTTTAATCCCAACTAGTGACAACTATGAATAATTTAAATAAAACCCATAAAGCTTTCACACACAAAAAAATCATGAAACACACACTTTGCATTCATCACGTGCGAAATCAAGATTATATGATGCAATTTTCAAAGTTGCATTTACAACCGCAGTGACATGAACAGCATTTTTTGAGGTAGCTAAGGTCAAACAGCAATGTGAAGCACAAGCAAAAAATACGTAAGTGCTCACACACTTTGGAAGCTCATTCTTTGGAGGCAATGTTATCATGCGTACATGAATGCATATTAGAGGCGCATATTACAAAGGGGGTGGAGTCTGAGGGTAGTGAGAACTTGACAAAAGGGATACCTCTCACCAGAGAAGGTTACAGAGAGAGAGAGTGCTTTTACATAAAACTGTAAAACTGTATCAAATACACACACATGCACTATATAGTATTTTCATCAAGCTTTCCACAAGGCACAGCTTGCATGACTTCTGTAGAGTGTGGAGGAGACTCGGGTGACATCTGTTTTTAAACAGGGATGAGAAAAAAAAATGAATCCAGCCTAGAATGATTACGTCTCTGTTGTATAGTTGTATGACAGGGACGGCAGCGAGGAAAAGTTATTATTCCACTGTCTCCCACTGGTACTTGGCTGTGTCGCTGCCTGCTCCTTATATTTACTCAGAAGAGTTTTGGCTTCTTGCTCATCCTGCAAAGAACTTTCTCCATATTCCTCCTTCAGCCACTGCCTGAACTGTAGAAATAAATACATAAGAGAGATGCTAAATGTTAACACATACTGGATACAGAAATACTACTCCTCTTACCAACAGCATCTTTACTAGTAAATATCAACATCTTTTTAAGATCATTACAATAGTCAAAATAATTTCAAAATCTCATAATTGAATCCTTTTATAGCCTAACCCCATTTGGCTAAAGAAAAGTGCTCCAAATGCTGCAGTTTATGGCTTTGAAGTAACGAAGCGCTTAAATATGTGTGACTAAGCACAGGTGTCAACTCACTGAAGTCAATGGGACTAACTCATGCTTAAAAAGGGTTACGCACATGCATAAATGCTTTGCTGGATTGTGCCCTAAATCTGGAATAAGGCACAAGTACAAGCACACTTTGGGCAAAAGAAATGGCAGAGTAATAACCAAATTTTAAATGACATCTGGCACAAAGGTCAATCATGGAGGCATTCACGTTCACAGTGCCCTTGTCCATACTGAAGCGTCAACAGACATAGTTTTTTAATAACTTAACAAAGCAAACTGTAGTATGTCACTAGGGTCCCTAGGTATTCACCCACGAGTTCGGAAGAAACTAAAATATGAAACTGCAGAACTACTAACTGGGGTATGTAACCTATTGCTTAAATCAGCCTATGTACCAGGTTACTAAAGGATAGCTAACGTAACACTGATTTTCAGGAAAAGTTCTGCAGATGATCCTGACAAGTACAGGCTAGTAATAAGATAAACAAGCTCCCTCACCAAAGGTTCTCAAGCAAAGTAAATGAAGGATAAGAGAGAAAGCGCTCTAATGGATCAGTGGCTGGTTAAAAGACAGGAAGAAAAGGCTGAAGTAAGTGGTCAGTTTTCACAGCAGAGAGAAGTAAATAGAGGTCTCCCTCAGAGGTATGTATTGGGAACAATTGTATTCAAAATATTCAAAACTGATTTAGGAAAAAAAATGGGGTAAACAGTGAGTTAAACAGTGTAAATTTGCAGATGACACAAAATAATTATGTTCCAAGTAGACTGCAAAGAGCTACAAAAGGACCTCACTAAAATGACTGACTGGGCAATAAAAATTCAGAGGAAATTCAATATTCATAAATGTAAAATAATGCATATTGAAAAACATAATCCCAGTTATACACACAAAACTATGGGGTCTGATGTAGCAGTTACCATTCAAGAAAGAGATCTTGGTGTTTGTGTGATTAGCTCTGTGAAAACATCCACTCAATGTGCAGTAGCTGTCAAACAAAAAATACGATGAAAAGTAGAGAACTGGAAGAGACCTCAGAAGGTCATCAAGTCCAGCCCCCTGCTCTAGGCAGGACCAATCCCAACTAAATCAACCCGGCCAGGGCTTTGTCAAGTTGAGTCTTAAAAACCTCTAGGGATGGAGATTCCACCACCTCCCTAGGTAACCCATTCCAGTGCTTCAACACCCTCCTGGTAAAATAGTTTTTCCTAATATCCAACCTAGACCTCTCCCACTGTAACTTTAGACCATTGCTCCTTGTTCTGCCATCCGTTACTACTGAGAACAGCCTTTCTCCATCCTCTTTGGAACCTCCCTTCAGGAAGTTGAAGGCCACTTTCAAATCCTCCCTCACTCTTCTCTTCTGCAGACTAAACAAACCCAAATTCCTCAGTCTCTCCTCATAGGTCATGCTCTCCAGCCCCCTTATTTTTGTCGCCCTCCCCTGGACCCTTTCCAATGCGTCCACATCCTTTATATAGTGAGGGGCACAGAACTGTACAATACTCCAGATGTGGCCTCACCAGCGCCAAATAAAGGGGAATAATCACATCTCTGGATCTGCTGGCAATCCAATGCTCCTCCTAATGCAGCCTAATATGCCATTAGCCCTCTTGGCTACCAGGGCACACTGTTGACTCACATCCAGCTTCTCAACCACTGTAATCCCTGGGTCCTTTTCTGCAGAAAATGATACTTAGTCATTTGGTCCCCAGCCTGTAACAGTGCTTGGGATTCTTCCGTCCCAAGTGCAGGACTCTACACTTGTCCTTGTTGCATCTCATCAGATTTCTTGTGGCCCAATCCTCTAATATGTCCAGGTCACTCTGGACCCTATCCCTGCCCTCCAGCGTATCTACCTCTCCCTCTAGCTTAGTGTCATCTGCGAACTTGCTGAGGGTCCTGTGTTCATTCCCTCTGAGGCATATGATACTGGCTTCTGTCAGAAGACAGGATACTGGATTAGATGGGTCTGACCAAGTATGGCCATTTATATTTTCTTGTTTCAACACACCAATGCTGGGCTATGTGTATGTAATATATAGGCTTTTTAATACATACCTTGAAGTGCATTACTGTGTTTTTAAAATGGTTTAGTTGGATGTGAAGAGCACGGAACATAAGAACAGCCATACTGAATCAGACCAAAGGTTAGTCTTGCCCAGTATCCTGTTTTCCAATAGTAGCCAATGCCTGGTGCCCCAGAGGGAATGAATGATCCCTCCCCATCACCCATTCCCAGCCTCTGACAAACAGAGGCTAGGAACATCATTCCTTCCCATCCTGACTATTAACCATCGATGGACCTATTCTCCATGAATAGTAAATAACTTTTCCTTATTTATTTTCTCCATACCAGTCATGATTTTATAGACCTCTCTCATGTCCCCCTTAATCTCCTCTTTTCGAAGATGAAAAGTTCTAGTTTTATTAATCTCTCCTTATATGGCAGCCATTCCAAATCCCTAATCTTTTTGTTACCCTTTTCTGAACTTTTTTCCAAGGCCAAGATAATTTTTTTTAGATGAGGTGACCACATCTGCATGCAGTATTCAAGATGTGGATGTACTATAGATTTATAAAGAGGCAATAAGATATTCTCTATCTTATTCTCTATCCCTTGTTTAATGATTCCTATCATTCTGTTTGCTGTTTTGATTGTTCCTGCACATTGAGTGAATGTTTCTAAAGACCTAGTCACAATGACTCTGAGATCTCTGTCTTGAGTGATAATAACTAAATATTTAATATTCTATAACATGTGTATCTGCCAAATAAAATATAAAAACAAAGATTCTATTAAAGTGTGTGTTATACAAGTACAGATTCAGACCCTGATCCCGCAAAGATTTATGCAAGTGTTTAGTTTGATGTTGATGGGGCTACTCACTAGGGATGCAAAACTTGTAAAAAAAAACATTAACTTTGTAACCAGCAGGCCCCCGGGGGCTGCTAGCTTTGCTGGCCTCACAGATTCCTGGCAGTGGCTGGAAGTTTAACCAGTTAAACTCTAACATCCCTACTACTCACCTGTGTCAAGTTTAGTATGTGGCCAAGTCTGTGGGATCGGGAACTAACCAGGTATTTTAAGCATTGAACATGAAGTCAGTTCCTCGGCAGGTATCAGTCAGCATCACTCCAATGACTTCAGTGGAGGTATGTCAATTTACAACCAGCTGATAACCTGGCCTATAATCTCTTGTTGCATCAAGTACATTACAAATGTGCGTGTGAATTCTTTAACCTACCTCCCCTTCTTCCTACCTTGACAAGTCTCTCACTCATCTGACCTGGCAGTGAAGCCTAAATAAAGAAACAATTACAAGTGCTTCTACTCTGCTCAGATGTTGATCTTTTTGGGGGGTGGGGAGTTGGGGAGCTTTAAAGAACAAGTGGCTCCAGCTCTTTCCTCTTGCTTCTTTAGCACCACTACTGTCAATCAGCTGTGCAAAGCATGGCTGAAAGCAGCACCTTCCCTCTCCTAGCCCTGCTATCACTCATTAGCTGGGAGAAGGAAATTATTTTACATCACATGACTCTTTCTTAATCAACCATATAGCATTTGGAAGTTAAGTAAGAGCATGAGATATATTAGAGTGGCAGTAGCCACTCAGTTATTAACTATATGGGGATCAATCCTGTAAGGAACTCTGCAATCCAGCCCTGATCCAGCAAAGCATTTAAACACAGACTCATAAGCATGCAAATTGTGGTAAAGGTATTAAGGGGATTGCTCACATTCTTAAAAGTTGAGCACATGCTTAAGTGCTTTGCTAGATCAGGATCATTTATGTTCACTATATACTGGACCCTGAAATATAGAGGGGTGAATCTCCAAGAAGAATGGGCACCCTCGACTGAGGAGCTGTAACAGAAACTCAGTCCAGATGTGAGTTTTTTAAACAAAGAACCAATGTAAATCTCCATGAGAACTGTCTGATTTAGCTACTACCATTCACATGCTAGATCAGGACCATGGTACTGTACTCAGCATCAAAGCAGGATCAAACACATACAAAAGAAGCAAAATATATTTACACTGAGGCATTATCAAGGATGAGACCTTAAACCACATCTAAGGGAAATTTCTGAATGAAGCACGTTATGACTTTCAATGCCTAATGGCCTAGATAATCAAGTCAAATGGCTCAAATGTGCTGAAACCCCAACTAGGGATGTTAAATATTGGTTAATCAAATAGTCAAGTAAATGCATGAATTCTTATCCATTAGTTGACTATTCTATATTCCCTGGGGACAGGGCTGGCAGCCAGTGAAATCTGGTCTCACTCTCAAGGAGCCCCCTGCCACTCGGTGCTGTTGTCTCTGTATGCTAGGTGGGAGCTGGTCCCCTAAGGGAACCAATTTAAAAACCAGATCCCCTTGCGGACCAGCTGCCTATTTCCCTGTACTGCTGCCTCTGATACAGAGGCAGCAGCGTGGGGCATCAGCAGACCCTATATAGGGGGAGTCTGAGCTCCCAGACCCGGTGGAAGCCAGAACTAAGCTGGGCTGCTTGCCCGCCTGGCTCCTAATACACTTTAAATACAGAGCCACAGCGGGGGTAGGTCCCAGACCCGTCACAAGCCAGGACTGAGCTGTGCTGCTGGCCAGCCTGCTAAGAAACTTACCAGCACAGAATGGGAGGGGGGTTTAATTGCATGTAGTCTATAGTGTTAACCTATAAGATTTTGCTAATCAGTCAACTACATTATTACATCCCTAACCCCAACCTGTATCATGACAGATACTTTGTACAGACCTACCATGGACAAGTGGTACTGTAATTAAAAACTCGGGTCTAAATTCTCAGTTGACAAACTGATATAGTTGCAGTGAAATCATTGATTCTCAGACTCAGAGATACAGCAGCCTGTTATAAGTTATGTCCACAGGTGAGAATTTCTTTTTGTAGCCTAGTGTCACTCTTTCAACAAAGAAACTGCTGCATCCTTCCATTGTGACATTTAAAAAAAAAAAAAAAAAAAGATGTTACTCTCTTCTCAGGTTATTTGCCTATACAATGACAATTAGGGTTATTAGCTAAAACCAATCAGATTTGAAATGACTACAGACATTCATTCGAGGGAGGAAGGTGACCAATCTGGAAAGTCCCTTTATAATGTCTCTTAAAAAATCAGTTCAGTTGTCCACTCATTAATACAAGTTCTGAATGAGCCAGGAAATATTCAGTTAAATATTTTCAAAAAATATATATTTACAGTAAACTACTGCATTATTGAAATGCCACAGTAATTTCTCAGCTCTCTGCTGCAAGAAATTATGAAAGAAAAATGAAGCCAACCTCCCCACCTCATTTACTTAATTTTAAAAGAGTGACTTGAAAAAAAGTCCAGAGAACACAAATGTGCTGAGCAATGTAAAATGGACTGATGGTCAAAAAAGTGATTATGTAAAAACAGAACCAGCTTTTGCCACAGACTTGCTCCTGGTATGTGTTATCTGTTTATGTTACTGAAAAAAACAGGTTATTACTATTTTGCTAAGGTCCCGTTAGCCCTGCAAAACCAACACAGCTCAAGGAGAAGCAGCTGGATTCCATTTTGGCTCAGGAATTATCCTCAGAATTGTTAAGTTCTAGTGGCACACAGTGTTCATTATTGGTGAGGATGCATAGTCCAGAAAGAGAACTCCGCTTGACTTCTAGATCTCAAGTTTTGTTTACAGGATTGTTACTTTGAAAAATGACTTTTCTTGCTTTAATAGCTAAGTAGATAGGAAAAATCCCCACAGTTTTTACATTAGCATCACTTGTACATTTGTATTATTGCTGCATCCTGGGCCATATATCTTCTAATCTTTAATCTTCTAAAATTGATACAGTCCAAAACTTTATGCCTTAGATTAGAATAAACCAAACTGATCAATGAACTGAGTTAACAAAAATCGCTTACATGGTCCACATCATGCTTTTCAAACTCCTGTAGCTGCCTCTGGAAACCCATGTTAGGATTGGCACAGGATCTTGATGCTCGTACAACAGACAGTGCATCTTCCCAGCCAAAGTCTGTGATTGTCATGATGTAAGCAACTACCAAAGTTACACTCCTAGAGACCCCAGCGAGACTGCAGCAGAAATGAGACAAAAGAGATATAAAATATGAAGTCTTAAAGTAAATACACATTATCTCATATAGCATCATACATTTATGCAGCACTTTACAGAGTAAAATACATCACCTAAACTAAGGAATATAAGGGAATGAATAGAGTGTGGTGATTGATCCTATGTAACTACTGAGATAGCTTTATGTTTAAGAGCCCTGTGCAGATAAAAACTCTGCAAAAAATGAACCGCACTATCCGTGGATCTGCAGGGCTCTATGTTGACTATATACTGGACCCCAAAATGTTGAGGAGAGAATCTGCATGAAGTATGGGCACCCCAACTAAGGAGTTGTACTGAAATTCCCATTCAGAATAGGGTCATGAAATAAGGTGGTAGCCTTTTCAAGCACATATAGAGGACTCATTGAAATGAGATTGGCTTTAACTTAATTAAACCTTCTGACTGAGTTGAACTATTAGAACACAGGCTTCAGTTGTCAATTTTATTCCTGGCTCTGCCTCTGACATGCTGCATGACTATTTTTCAGTGCCTCAGTTTCCCCATCTGTGACACTGGGAGAATGATAGAATCTTCCACTGTCAAGTGGTTTGACAGCTATGGATGAAAAGTGGTGTTATAACCATAAAGATAGTTGTAGATTTGCTCACTTAGCATTTACAAAACACTTTACACTTTCAAAGAATATAAATGATATAGCACAACATCAACAAGCGATTTTAGAATACCCTCATGAAGTAGATCAATATCCCTGTGTTGCATATGAAGAGAGTGAGGTGCAGAGAGGTTAATCGATTTGTCCAAAGCTACACCGTGAGGCAATGGCAAAACAGGAACAGAATGCTCCAGTTCTACCTCCAAACTACTAGATGTCTCTGACTCTAGATCTAGTTTCCGAAAAGCTCGTTAGACATTGCAGCAATGCACAAGGACCACAAGCAATGACAGTAAGAGAAATCATGATGGGCTTTCCTGTTCTGTATTCAAACTCTTTTGAAGGCAGTTAATGTCTCAGGACAGCCTCTCTAATCAGTAATCTGCTTGAAACAGCTGTGATATTTGAATGCTTCAGTGAAGCTTAAAACAGCAGTTTCTGTGGAGAGGAAATTTCCAGCAGCCCCAAAGCAGAAAAAATAGTTGCAACAGGAAATGATAAGATTATTAGGATTACAGGAACTGTCGCTGAGGGAAGAAAATGGTGCCCAGCATTAATCAGAGAAATAGATAATGAAACACTATTGGTGAAAAATGACACAGGGAGCTGATGATCACCAGGAGTCAGCAGCTCTGGATTTCACTCCTGGCTCTGCCACCGACACATTGTTTGCTCCAGAAGCCACTTACCCTCTTTATGCCACAATGTCCACAGGGGATCAAAGCTTAACTAGTGTTTTTTATTGGGGGGAGGGAGGAAAAGGGGTTCCTCAGATGTGAGGTGCAGATAAATGCAAAAGTATTATTGTTAAAAAAGAAAGAGAAGGGTGAGCAACACTAATTTACCATTGAGTTAAAAAAAGACAACAAAATGGAGGGGGAAAAATTAAGAATATTCTTAAACAACTGACATACGTACCAGTGAACAAGACAGCCCTCTCTGCTCTGCCGGCACTCATGAATAAACTTGATGCTCTCTTTGAAATGTCTCGTTCTGAAAACAGAAGCAAGAGGGAAATACAGAGCATTTAGTTTTAGTGAAATCACAAAGAGGAAAAAACAAACAAGAAAAAGATACGAAAAGCCACTTAATATTATTCCCAGAATACAGTACATTAAAAAGGCAAGCAACAGCTACTGCACAGCTGCCTTGATTATTCCCTGTTTTAAATAAGAATGGAAACTTTGGTATCTCAAGCATCACTCTACAGCAGGGGTGGGCAAAAGTGGCCAAGTGGTTGGATCTGGCCCGTGGAGGCCTTTCTTCTCCCCTGCCCCCAGGCCAATTAGGGCCTAGAGGCAGGGCCCTGTGCTTCTCGCAAGGAGGGGGCAGAGCAGAGAAGGCTTCACGGGCTCCCCAATCCCCAGGCCTTAATTGGCCTGGGGGCAGGGGAGCATGCGAAGCCTCCTCCCCCCCTGCCAGGAGTATGTGGCGCTTTGAAGCACTGTGTGCTACTCGCAGGGCAGGGGGAGAGCGGAGAAGGCTTCGCGCGCTCCCCCACCCCCAGGCCAATCAGGGCCTGGGAACAGGGGATCAGCATGAAGCTTCCTTCGCCCTGCCCCGGCCCTGCGAGGAGCCCGCGGCATTTCAAAATGCCACGCGATCCTCACAGGATGGGAGGAGGTTTCCCACAGTCCTCCGCCCCCAGACCCTGATTGGCCTGGGGGTGGGGGAGCGTGCCAAGCCTTTTCCAGGGCATGGGTGCCTAGTGGGAATGGGGGCAAGGTGGCTCCCTCACCCCCAGACCAATCATGGTCTAGGGGTGGGATAGCCTCGCCCCTTTCTGTTTAGGTCCCACCCCTTCCGGAGTGGCCCGGGGCTTCAAAAATTTTTTGAAGTGGCTCCCAGGCAAAAATTATTGCTCACCCCTACTCTACCATGATTGACAAATATTTTGTGCTGATGACTGGCAAATCTGTCTCCCTCCCTCAAGCTGAGCAACGATGTTCATTTGTCTTACTCACTTTTCCTTTTGGATATCCTGCCAGCAACTGAAACTTAGCATGGACAAAACAGAACTCCTGCTTTTTCCCCGCAAAAGACCTCCTTTCCCTCCTCTTTCTCCATCACAACAGTCATCACAACCATCTGAACCAATGCAGGCCATGTCTAAATCTTTCCTCTTCTTCCTGCACAATATCTCCAAAATCTGACCTGTCCTTAGATGTCAGAAGCGCTTGAGCTTAAAGTTGACCCAGATAGGCCCTTCAATCTTGGTTGGATTCATCTGTTTCCAAAATCATAGTTGATTGTGGAGGAAGGAATGCAATCCATCCTTCTGTTTACATTCTGAGGTTCTAACTACCCGTTCAGGGGCTGAAGCACTTGGGCAAATACACAAAGCAGCATATCCAGCAAATTTTGGCTTGTATGATATGCTGAGTAAAGCCATTTCTACAAACGCCTGAGGTAAAGCCTGGCATGCTGAGACCACTTATATGTACAAAACCATTTGACCCAACAATGTAGAGATGAACTCACTGTGGTTCCCACGTTGGACTCAAGGTTCTTGGACAAAGACCATGCAAGATTGGAACTTGTCTATCAGGAGGTAAGCAATGGGAATTGTGGCATCAAGTTCCATACCTAGGAAATTTACTTGCTGCACTGCTTCGAATGTTGATTCCTCTACATTCAGTTTTTAATGAGAGAGATCTTCAGGCTGTCTGGACTGCCTCCCCACCAAGTACGGTAGGAAGTGACCTAGGGAGGGTGAGGAAGTGGTATCGCCCACCCATGTGGTCCAGTGGGGCTCCATACTGAACCAATGGTGGACAGCTCTGCCACTGTCAGGGTATTGGCTTGGGGCCCAATAGAGTCGGGTGGACCCGGACCCTCTTTATTAGGCTGCCAACTGCTTGTGGCCCTTTTGGTACTGGCCTACCTCGGCCATGCAGCCATGCACCAAAGGGTCACTATATTGACTCTAGGGGTGTGTCTAGACTACAGGGTTTTGTCGACAAAAGTGGACTTTTGTCAACAAAACTATACCTGCATCTACACTGCCGCTGAGTTCTGTCGACATAACGTTGACAGAACTCGGCAGTTTTGTCGATGGCTGTAAACCTCCTTCTATGAGGAATAACGCCTTGTGTCGACAGAGTTCTGTTGACAGAAAGCGTTATTGCATCTACACTGTCCTTTGCGTCTACACAGTCACGTCGACAAAGCGGCTTGCTTTATCAACAGAACTGGCTGGAGTCTAGATACTCTTTGTTGACAGAAGCTTTGTCGCCAGTATCTGTCAACAAAACTTCTGTCGTCAAAAGCCTGTAGTCTAGACATACCCTGGCTGTTGGGACCAATTGCCTTACACCAAAGGTTTTTCCTAACTGACATGAGCCAATAGGCCTTGCTGCTCTGCACTGAGGAGTCTCTCTAATTGTCGGGCTGACAGGCCCTGGACATTGGGACTATAGCCCTCACCCTGAGCTTTGGACCTTGGAGTTTGTGACATCTAAGATCACCCAATAGATCTAATCATGACACCCACTATCCTCCTCTTTTGAGATGGGGTGTGTATATATTGTCACACTGACCCAATGAAAACTGGTTGAATTGCACATCAGTACATGGTTTGGAGAATTAGTATCTTGCTAGATATCCAGCCTGCTTGAGAGTCACCTAATTGACTAATTCCTGGAGCAGTTCATGCTGAATCATACAAGACACTCCATGTGACTCAGTCCTCTGCAATGTAGAGGAATTAGTTCAGGAGAAACAACGAGGATGATAGTATTGGGGAGAACAGCTGAAGAGGTATTATTTCCCTCTGCCTCCTAAACCTGCAGGCACTCTAGAAGGAAGAATCTGCTATGGGATGAAAATGTTGTGTCACCAATAATACTGCTAGCTTTTCCTCTGTTGGAGCCTGGGGGGGCGCATCAACAGACCGGCATCCTAACCCTGCAGCTGTCCACCCATTCCCTGGTCTAGACTGAGAAAGGACATAAAAAGGAACTTTCAAGTATCTAAAAGGGTGTTACAAGGAGGAGGAAGAGAAATTATTTTTTTTAACCTCTGAGGATAGGACAAGAAGCAGTGGACTTAAATTGCAGAAAGGGAGGTTTAGGTTGCACATTAGGAAAAATTTCCTGTTAGGGAGTTAAACACTGGAATAAATTGCCCAGGGAGATTGTGGAATCTCCATCATTGGAGATATGTAAGAGAAGGTTAGACATATGTCCCATCAGCCTCATCATCTTCAACACTGTCATTAAGTCACTCATCTGAGCCCTCTCCATTGGTCCAGGCAGTTCCAACCTGTACAGCAACAAAAGCAAACAGTCTAGCCTACGGAGACAATCTGGTCCTGATTGCGGACAACCCAGAGAGCCTCTAAAAATGCTCAAATGTCACCAGCCAGGATTCCAACTGGATGGACCTCCATTTTGATGCTAGGAAGTACATATCCCTGCATATAGATGGCAGCATCAGAGACTCAGCCCAAGTGATATGGTTCCAGATCCAGGGTGAATCCATGGTTTTCTTCAAGGACAGGCAGGCAAATAGGCATCCTGGCATGTTCATGGGTTTCCACATCCTGCAGACACCATTGTGGAGATCCTGTGAGATGTGGCCAGCATCAACTGCTCCCTGCTAGCACCTTGAAATGAGATCAGTGATCGTCCTGATCCCCACTATTTCATTCATCCTGAGAGGGATCTGTAATGGAGAAGGTACCCCTCAACAAAGCAGACAGTGCTATCAGGCAGCTGGTGAAGAAGTGGATGTTTCTTCCCCAGAGGGCCAGCAATGACCTAGTATACAAATCGCACTGGCATGGCAGCGCCAGCTTCCCTCGAAAGGGAGACCTATGCAGTGCTGCGGTCATCACACATGCCTTCCGCCTTCGCACATGCCCAGACACCATAGTGAGGAACATCCCAGAGAGAGTACTGATCCTTTCTCCTGCTCCCTAGATTTCTGGAGAAACAACACGGGCTGATGTATGCAGCATAGTTGTTGTCAGTTAGGGTACCTCTAGACTACAAGCCTCTTTCGAAAAAGCCTATTTTGAAAGAATCTTTCAAAAAGCCTCTTTCAAAAGAGAGCGTCTAGACTGCAACCACTTCTTTTGAAAAAGCGAGCCACTTTTTCGAAAGAGAGCACCCAGGCAGTCTGTATGCTGTCTTTCGAAAAAGCCCTGTTTGCATTCAAGAACACCTTTTTTCAAAAGAGCACTTTCGAAAAAAGCTGTTCTTCCTCATAAAATGACATTTACCACGGTCAAAAAAACCACCGTGTTCTTTCGATTTAATTTCAAAAGAACTTGGCAGCAATCTAGACACAGGGGAAGTTTTTTCGAAAAAAGGCCACATTTTTTGAAAAAACCCTGTAGTCTAGACACACCCTTACAGGACAGAGACACAAACAAGGTGGGAAGTTGGTCCAATAAAAAATATTATTTCGTCCACCTTATCCCTCTAATTGGTTGAGGTGTATTTCCCCCTCAACAGCTCCAAATATCAATACATCTTCTACAATGACCTAGCATAAGTTTTGCCCACTTTCTTATAGAACATGCTTTGGGCTGCAAAAAAAATTATCAAAATGTGATGTCTTTTTCCTCAGGCATGGCGGGGGAAGAGAGAGGGAGAAGGTATTAGGCGTGGCTAACAGTGAACTTTTGGTCCAACTTTATTAATCATTTTCCAGATATGACACACAGTATGATGAGTCACTATGTATCAGACAGTTCACTTGTTACAGCATCAGATTTAGACATGTGATAGTATTCGCCTTTGATTGTCTTGTTCAAGTTTCATAAAACTTAGGCGGGAAATCCTAATGCAGCTACACTTGCGGAAATCATTTGGCATTTTGTGGAATCACGAAGCCCTGACTGTGATCAATGGGGCAGTTCACTCATCAGACTTACTGTTTCATGCACTCTGTCAACTCAACACCATGCTGGTTTATGTACACTTTATGTACTGAAGCTTATCATAGGGTACAAACTTCTATTTAAAGTTTAAATGATTGCAAGAGATAGAGTCCCTAGAAGAGCAGACTGTTTTAGGTTAACAACGAAACAGGAAATCAATATTTGCTACATAAAAGTGTCAAAACTGTGCAGATTAACAATCTACTCAAGGTAAAGACAATTTATTGTACAACATCCAACTCTGACACTTCTCTTGCCAACTTAACTATTGTGAATTGCAGCTTATTTAAGATATCATGGGGCACATCCCACACAAAGTTAAGCAGTCAACAGCCTCTACAATCATGGTTTGATAATTGACCACACTTATTCAATGATAAAGAGGATAACCAGACACAAATGAGATGGGGGATTTTCCATTTCAGGTCTAAATTTCAGTATTTTGTTGAACTTTCAGAAATGCTTTAGATTAAAAAAAAAGTGTCAGAAGGAACAGCAATTTAGTGGTATAGTCTCTTCAACAATCAAACCTGTGTCAGACTAAGAACTATCTAGAACTTCTGTATGATTCTTTGGCATTTTGCTGGTGTGGCACTGTTAGACAGGATGGTTGTAATATTAAATATAAGTAAGAAGGAAGGCTCAAAAGACAAGCATGAGAGCCAATAGGCTTGTTGTAACCATAGTTTTGGCCAGGACATTTCCTTTTTTAAGCCCTGATCAGCTGCCAAAAGCAAACAGGACAAATGCCCATTTTTGTTAAAAAAGTGTGGTGTGGCTAGAATGGAAGAACATAAGCAGATGTAATGACTACCCAGCGCCGAGGGAAGGGTTCTAGCACACTCGGAGGTAGGCACGGTACAAGTGACTAGCAATAGCCTCGAGCTAGGACTGGCATGGTTTGAGTGACCAATCACAGTCCCGTACAAGGGCATAGGGGAGGCAAAGTGCTCAGGCCAACTTGGCATGGTGTCCAATCTTCCCTTTGGGAAATATGGTCACCCTAAATAGACTAGCATAGTTGAGTATTAATTTTCTAGTACCACATATACAAAAAACAAGAGGGAGTGGGGAAGGGTATATTTAAATTTCTACGGAAATGCTTTTGGAAAAACAAGTTCCTTAGGAGAGGGCATTGTCAGGGAAATCAATGACCAGCAGAAATTAAATGGCTTGAAACCAAATTCACACCACTGAGGCCAACCTCACATTAAACTCCAAGGAAGTAACCTAGTTCTCAAGAATGGCTGCTTAATTCACAGTCTAAGCAGCAACAGAAAATGCTAATAGAACCAAATCTTCACCCAGTTTCAAAGAATGCGTGTCTCTTCGTTTTCATTGTTAGATTTTATTGGAAATTGATTTCTTGCAGAAACGAAAGAGCCCTTAATATGCTTACTGCAAGTGCCCGTATATTATACATAAGGCCCTACCAAAGCCATGTTCCATTTTTTATCAATTTCATGGTAATAAGATTTTAAAAGTTGTAAATGTCATGATTTCAGCTATTTAAATCTGCAATTTCATGGTGCTGTAATTGTAGGGATCCTGATCCAAAAGGGAGCTTGGGGGCTGGTTATTGTTAGGGGGCTGCAAGTACTGCTACTCTTAGTTCTGCTGCCGATAGTGGCAACACTGCCTTCAGAGCTGGAATGCAGTAGCTGCAGATTGAGAGTCCTGTTCTGAAAGCAGAGGTGTTGCTAGCAGCAGTGCAGAATTAATGGTGGCATAGTATGACCCTTTACTTCTGCTGCTGATGGGGCACTGCCTTCAGCACTGGGTTCTTGGCCAACAACTACTCCTTTCTGGCCTTCTATCTCTGGAGGCAGCACCCAAGTAAGGGTGGAAATACAACCCCCGTAAAATAACCTTGCGATCTCTCTGCAAGTCTCTTTTGGGTCATGACCCCCAATTAGAGAAATTCTGGTTTCCCCTGTGAAATCTGTATAGTATAAAGTAAAAGCACACAGCCAACCAGATTTCACAGAAGGAAACCAGATTTCATGGTAAATGATACATTTTTCATAGCCATGAATTTGACAGGGCCCTAATTACACATGTTGAAAAAGAAAGTTATCCGAGGAAAACATAGCTAATGTGAACTTAAGTTAGCAAATCCAAACCCAATATCCACTCTGACCATGTATCAAGCTGGCCCTTTGACAAATACCAGCAGCTGCAGAAAAGCAGAACCACCACTTCAGAAGAAATGTACCTGAATGCAGATAGGCCTGTTATATGATCCTAGTCAATTTCACTTGGCAGCAACCACTAGGGCAGCTGTTTCTCAAACTGTGGCTCCCAACCCCCTGGGGGGGTCGCGATCAACTTAGAGGGGGGTCGTGAACAATTGAGAGGGTGGTTGCAACAATGGAGGGGGGGGTCGCAAGCAACTGAGAGGGGGGGTCGCAGTATCACAAGTTGAGAACCCCTGCACTAGGGTAAAAGCACTTTATGTGATGCTATTCTTTTCCTGTGCAGCTGCCAACCTCACTCTTTGAGAAGATAAGACACAAAAATGTCACAAATGGACAGATGCCCTTTTCCCTCAGAATCCCCTCAAACCACATCCTTTTAAACCAGAGTTTGAGAAGATCATATTACATTCTTATGACCTGAATATAACAAGCTTCCTTTGACCTCTTGAAGTTTTTACATTAAAAGCAAGTAACCTCAGTATTTCTACACACTGTGCATGGGTTATACCTGACCTTTTCCATCATATAAAGAAAAAAGAAAAGTCAGTTACTCATCAAGTTTTAAGTAACCAAATGTATCAACATCAGAAGTAACAAAATTTGTTTGCAGCAATCTGATACCCATGCAAGAACCTTAGATTCTTGCAGCATCACAGACACAATACTCATGCAAATATCTTATCTTCTTATAAATGCTTTAAGAGTCTTGGAGCAGTGCCAGAAAGCTAATTGCTTTTGAATGCTACAGGTTGCTTTTCAATGTGTTTCCTTGATATGCAATGACAACGGCTGGTTGCTTTGTATGTGTAATTAACATTAGCTGCTAATTCTGTCCTTTTTCTGTTCACAAACTGATCCAGATTTCTACTAACACAGAAGGCAGATTTACAAACATTTTCACAACTATCCTGTAGATCGCCAAATACTGACAAAACGTTAATGATGACCCAACAAATGTGAATATGGCCTCTGTAATTTCTTAAGTTTCTTCCTTCTTAAAAGGAAAGAATCTCCACAATTATAGGACTACAAAAGCGAGAAACTGTTCACATTCCTACCCTCCCACAAAACAATGCACAAAATTGTGTTCATATCCACTATCTTAGTTCTGAAAATTCTATTCTGTTCCTTAAGCTTGACTCCTACTTAATAGCAAATGGGCTACTAAATATTATTTTTAAGGGAGTAATACACTCAGAGTCTGGATTTTTAGGGGCACTGAAAGCATGCAGCTCTCATTGACCACAATTGCATATGAGGGTGCTCTGCACCTTTGAGGGGGAAACACAGGCTCATGGCCTATGTTCTTATTACACAAAGTTGTGTTAAAATGGATTTTTGTAAGTGTAGAAACATGTTATTGAAAAGAGTAAAATGAGAAATAAAAAAAAAACAGCCAGTGTCATGTTGGAATCCCTCCAAAGTATAAGAAACAAAATACTCTAAAAATATCCACTGAAAGCATCCGCCAGAATATTGCTGTGATCTGAGAAAGAGCAGTGCTGAACTTCCTTCCGTAGGTACCAGGCCCTTTCAACTACTTCTGTTTCTCTACATAACTAGTTAGCAGGAAGTGGCTGAAACCCCCTCACCTCTCTTCAACATAAACAGTGAGCACTAAAAGAAAGATTTGGTCGCTACGCCATCCAAGTATTCTTATGAAATATGTTTTGATTACTTCAAAATCATGATTTCCTACATACAATCAGTTCAAAGATAGAATGTTAAATTCAGGGTCAGCTCAACTAACCTTCTGGACAGTAATATGGATATTAAAAATATTAAATTTAAAAACGCTTAAAAATGGGACACAGCAGCTTCATGTAGATACATCCTGTTTCAAGCATTAAGACCATAGGTACGGTGATATCGGACCAAGCCTAGTCCAGTACCCTGTCTCTGGCACTACATGATTTGAAGGAAGGTGTAAGAACCCTAGAGTAGGAAGATGTGCCACCATCCGCACCCTACATAGGTCTCTTCCCTGTCTCTAAAATGTAGAGACTGACCCTACCAGAATTGCTCTAGCAACACAGCTGCACTGCTGTGGTGTTGTTTTTCCATTGTAGTAAAGCCAACCTTGTGAAAGATGGTTGCGAGGTCTACAAAACACTTTTTCCCATCAACTAAGCATGGTATATACGAGATCTTAGGCTGGTTTAGTTACATCACACAAGGTGTTAAATTTTTCATAGCCCTGGAGGAATGTAGTTAAACTGACCTAACTTTGTAGCACAGACCAGCCCTGAAGCACAAGATTTAATACCCCTTCCAAAAATTGCGTATTAATTGTAACAATTCTGGATATTCTTGGTAGCAAACCAGATATGCCAAGTAGGGAAGCATTTTTTAAATGACTTGTTCTTCTGTTACCTCAATATTAATTCAATTATTACACCTAAGGAACAAATTTAAACCTAACAAAGGTGTAAAACTGGTGTGAGATCAAAAGGAGGTCTTTTCATTTATTTCAAACCAAGCATTAGTACAGAATTTAAAAAATAACAACTACAAAAACTTACAAATCCTGAGAGGGCGAATCAGCAGCAGGCATGCACAGATACGTACCTCCCTGTATAACGTAGTCAACAGAAACTCCCTGTATAAAGTAGTCAACAGAAATGAGAACACAATATTAAAACAGAAGCATGATGGTGTCAGTGGGTAAATTTTGCTCTAGTATTTGCGCGGGTCCATTGATTATGAAAACTGTATTGTAAATAATTGCAGATTTTGCCTCCTCTGCCCAGATTTAAAAAGACAAATTGGATGAAGTAGTATCTTTTATTAGACCAACTTTTGTTGGTGAGAGACAAGTTTTCAAGCTATCCAGAGCTCTTTTTCTTTAATCTCTTTTCATATAGATTCATAATCTTCTTCATATCCACAGAGCTGAAGACGACTTGGAAAGGAGATGATTAAGAGGAAATATGACAGAGGTCTATAAAATCATCTGGTGGGGAAAAAAGTAAATAAGGGAGTATTCTTTACCCCTTCACATAACACCAGAATCATGTGTCACCCAGTAAAATTAGTAGGCTGCAGGTTTAAAACAAACCACAAGACAGTACTTCTTCACATTATGCACAGTCAACCTGTGGAACTCATTGCCAGGAGATGTTCTGAAGACAAAAAGTATAACTAGGTTCAAAAAAGAATTAGTTAAGTTCACAGAGGAAAGAGCTATCAACAGCTATTAGCCAACGGGTCAGGAATGCAATACCATGCTTGGGAGTTCCTAAGCCTCTCACGACAATATACTGGGATTGGAGGACAGGGGATGGATCACTCAATAAGTGACTGTTCTGTTCACTCCCTGAAGCATCTGACATTGATCTCGGTCAGAAGACACGACACTGAACTAGATGGATGATTGGTTTGACCCAGTCTGACCATTCGTATGTGATGTACCCACCCATCCTGATCTTCCTAATATTCTGGGACCAACGCGACTGCCACAACAGTGCTTACAGACTTTAAAAGTTGTTTTCACATGTGTTTGGTCACTGAGGAACAGACAGCTTAGTCATGTTAACGCCAAAGACCTTTTAGTGTATTCTTTAAACAGCAACATCTTTATTAGAAAGGGGTAAAACTTTCGTTATATTCATCGTCTTAAAAGTGTTATTCTTGTTATGTTTCATTGGAAACAAGTGACATCTTATACAGTTCTCACTTTGTCAAAATGAATGCTGAAAACGAAATTTGTAAAAAAACCACACCCTATTTTTTTAAATCTTGCAGAATGCCACATTCAGTTGTTCCTCCCTTACTTATTTAGCAACACACTAAACAAAAAGGGAGGGAATTTTGGAAAAGAAATCAGTTATTTTTTGAAAGTGGTGACTTTAAGACTCAAACTTATCTACCAATAAGTCGTCCTCACTTTATTAGTCATCTATTATCATAATGAATTATGTACTCAAGTAAGGGACTACAATATATATTCTTAGAAAAACTCTGATCTGAAAAGTCAACTAGGCAATGTTTTTACGAAGGTCCACGTGAACAAGTTTAAAAAAACGAGCTTGGGCAATAAAGTGATAAAGTAAGAGATAAGTAACAAATAAAAAGAGCTATGACCATAGAAGTTAATACTCCATACAGATATGGTGTAATTTTAAATATTAGTAGCTTCCTTCTTTTGTGGTATCTACAGATGGTTCTCAGAGTTCACCATGACCACTTCTCCCCAGGCCATCATCTCCAGCCTGACCTCTGAATATTCCACAACTGAATCAACAAACAATACTTCAACTACCATGTCTGAAGAACCAGAGATGGTACATCGGAGCAAGCTAATGCATCCTTCGCTGTCACATCATTACTGATTCCCCACTTCTTCCTGGCCCCTATGATCCATCTGTGGATTGCTAGCTAATTTCCACTGGAAGTGTTACAGAGTATAGCTAGTGATCTGTCAATGGTTCACTGACTAAGGCAACGTCTCCACTTGCCTAGGTTGAATTAAGACCTGCTAAATCAAATGCTTAGGGTGGCTCCGGTTGGTGCAGGTGTTCCCTTGCAGTCGTGAGGAGTCAGGGAAGCCAATAGAAGTGTTTGCTCCCGTTAGCCAGCCTGCCACTGTGAAGATGGTGCCAAGCTCGGTTTAAGATAAATTGACTCCAGCTATGTATTTTACCAAGCTGGAGTTTCGTACTTTAACCCAACCTTCTTGATCTATTGTAGACCTGGCCTAAGTGGCACAGACAGAGTGTGGGAATTACTGTAAGTGTGGATAGCATAGCGGAGGGAGATCATGGCTTGGGAGAGGGGAATATTTGAAAGAGGGGAGGGTTACAGTGAGTAATCACAAGTGAGAGTGCGCCCAATTTTAAGCAGAGCTCCTACAAAGGGGAGCTGGTGACATTTGGAAAGAGTAATGTTGGGAAGGCTGTGGGCATGACAAAACACAGCTGGGAGAAGAGAAGAGATTCCGCTGGAGAACCATGGAAGCCTGCCAGATAACTGACATATCTGATATATCAGAAAATGAAAACAATTGAACGTAGTAGCTACCCTTACTTGAATCAGGACTAAGTAGCCCTAGCATGGATGTAAGGATAATAAACCTGACAGAGTCAATGCAGCTAGTGTAGGTCCACTCAACTAGTGGTAGAACAATCTGGGTATAAAACAACAGGATGCTCTATACCATGGATTGAGCTCTAGTCATTGCGGCAGCTTCGCTGAAGGCTCTGCAGTATAAAGAGATTACCACCATCTTGGAGCGTTTTGGAAGGTGGTGGTAACAACTTCACTCCCTATGGTTCCGAGGAAATCCTCCCCTCCAAAATGACAAATATACAAATAGTAGCCAAAGTAGTAAATGATGGATGGGATCTTAAAAATGCTCAAAGGAAGCTTATTTAAATAATCTTTAGCCTGCAGAGCCCACCACGTGGGTAACGGCTATGATTTTGGGCGGTTACATTTTAAAGCGCATTTTTACAGCCCTAGTGCTCATTAGCTATCCTTCAGCAAGGCAGCGTGCAGGAATAAAAAGAAGGTGGGGGGCGGGGAGAGAGAAGGAAATATATTAAGACCAGCATGGTACCATGCACTGAAAGGTTCCAATACTGCATCCCATACTCATTTTAAGTAGCCCCACTGATTTCAGCAGTCAGCACACATGCTGAATGCGCCCAGTTGCTAAACTAAAAGGGGCTTTCAGAAAATGTTCTCTTTAAAAGAAGAAGTACTGTCAGTTTTACAGCACACCGTGTTCTTTTCCGTCACAGCTGGCTGGCTCCCATTCTGAGGGATGCCAACAGTGACATAAATTCACAGCTACCACAGAACCACACGTAAGCATGAACGTCGCCTGTAAAGGGACCACATATTGGGCTGACTAGTTCTTCACAGGCCTGATCTGCAGGTACAACTTCCAGAAAAGTCTATGAGAGTTGCAGTCAGTCACCTCTCAGGATCAAAAGTTTAGTCAGGATAGCAGGGCCCTTCAACATACATAGGATTAAAGATGTTGGGGAATTAATTCCAAGTTTTACTGATGCGTGCCACCTTGGAACATTTCAGAAGGTGGTGGTAATAACTCCTCTCCCTAAACTTCCCAGGAAATCCTCCCCTCCAAAATGACAAATATACAGTAGAAAACAGATGGGATCTCAAAACAGCTCAGTGTTGACTGTCCTCTGCCCACTGAAATCAACAGTCAATCTCCCAGTGACTTCTACTGGAACACAATTGGGACAGTACCGACCAACTTTTGAAAATCCCTCCCCATAACCAGATTTTGATCCTAGATGGCTTAACACTCTTTGAATCAAAAGCATTCATTTTAATTGCATGAATAAAATAGAGGGATTATACTGGTTGGCATTGGGCATTGTAAATGAAACATTATCCAACAGAGGTTGTTCAGATGTTGCTACTGATAACTAGAGTTGAATTAGCTTTTCTTCATGCTTTTAGACTTTTGATATTTTTACAGACTTAACACACTTGTTTAAAGGTTTTGTTAACAGGAAGTTATTTAATTTCTGAACCCTGCTATCTGTCATAATAAAAAAAAACCTACCCAAGATCGTAGTGTTCTTGTGTAGTTATGCCCCAGAGACATTACTATCCTTCCTGTGCACGTACAATACAGATAACATCTAAGAATTGTCCCAAAGGGACCTCTAACCAAAGCAGAACAGTTTGTGTCAACGTAACAAGTAAATACTGTAGACTAAGATTTTCAGATGCTCATGGGTTGTTCAGTAGTGTACAAAAACGCTAAAGGCTTCACAATTTCCGTAGTTAGTAGTAACTGCAGTCAGAATCTTCAACAAAGACAAAGAGTCTGTTTCCTTGCTTAGTATATGCTTATTATGACAAAACAGACTGAGCCTAATCATAAGATCATCAAAGTCAATAAAAAAACATCCAATGTCTCAATGTGCCTTAGATTAGAGGCTTAGTGATTTATTCAGGAAGCTATAATACTGCTAGAAAATGTTTTAAAAAACATATAGTAGGGTTTAACAGGATATAAAGTAATAACCTTAACAAAGATGGGGCAGGCAAAATAAACTAACTGCATTTGTACAATTTTCAGTATTTCTTTTAGAAGGAAATTTGGGTAGAATGATGGATGGCTTTTTCTGCAAAAAAAAGTTGATATAGGTTCCAGCAGTCCAGTTCCATTCATTAAAGTTGTTATCAAGTTCACAGAATATTTGAGCTTCTCAAAAAAGGAATGATTTGTTTAAGTCCAAAACAAAATTTTACTACATGGAGTGGATGAAAAAGCAATTATAATAAATATAACAAAGGAATTAATTACTTAATGCTGCAGTTGGTACATTCATGCTAAAAATATTCCTTCAAATGATATCTTGCATGCCAATATTTTCTTTCATTCTCCCTCCAAACAAACCATTACTGGATTAAATCAAAACAGCGTTTTCATCTAACTAAAATTAAACATTTTCTTTAAGTTATGAAAAACGACATACACATCTGTTGCTGTAAAGCAAACCAAATTCTCAGCTGAGAAAAACAAACCTTCAGCAGTTCACCACTGAAGTTCAAGTGTTCATTCAAACTTACGACATCTATACACACACA